CAAACTTTAACCATCCTACCCTCATTGAATTTTCGATCTTTGTCCCCTGGGGTATAAAAGCACTCCCCTATCGCCGGGATCACCATTACCGATCTCCAACTGCGACTTATATATAACTAATATTCCTATTCGGGGGAGCTTCGACTCCCCGGAGCCTCACCTCCTTTTATGCATTATCTTTTTACTTTACTATGTACAATAAACATGTATATAGGACGCGACGTGTTACACACACACACACACCTACAAACGGGGCACACACTAGTCTAATAAAATAACTATTGGGGTCGCAATAGCACATAGTAGTAGAGAAGAGCTAATTGTAGACGTATTTCGTAAGAAAAAATTTTATTGTAATACTGTAGAGAGGAGATAGGAGAAGTAATTCATTCTTTGCTATTAAATTTCCTTCGCTTTCACCCTTGTACAGATTTGTCTTTCAAGTACTGTCATTTAATTAATTCCACAATCGTCGTACTGACAGGGTCCAGTTGTAGTACTGAAAAGGAATGTATGCGACTTGATGGACCAAAACATATCTTTTTCATTGATTAATTTTTACTTTTCGTGTTTATATTATCGCTACAAATTTAATTGATAGAGAATGTTTCGATCCATTAAATCGCAGAATCTTTTCTTATTCCTCTCCAATAGGTTCACTGGTTTTTATGCGACTTGGCGGACCGAAACATATCTGTTCCATTGATTAATTTTTACGTTTTGTATTTATATTATCGCCACAAATTTAATTGATAGGCAATGTTTCGATCCATTAAATCGCAGAATCTTTTCTTATCCCTCTCCGATAGGTTCACTGGTTTTTATGCGACTTGGCGGACCGAAACATATCTGTTCCATTGATTAATTTTTGCTACAAATTTAACTAATAGGGAATGTTCCGATCCATTAAGTCGCGAAATCTTTTCTTGTCCCTCTTCGGCAGATACATTGGTTTCCAATCGCATAATTTTGCGATTTTAGATGTTACAAATGTGGTAATTATGGCAATCATACGGCTGCAAAATGTAAAACACTGGTGACCAATGAAAAGGCATGCTACGGGTGCCATGGAACCGATCATCTGATAGCCAATTGTCCAGTAAAAGCTAACACCAAAACCAGCAAAGACGAGAAAATCAAGAACGGAAGTAGTACGAGTGAGCCCAAGGATCCTATTGAGGTTGAGGGCGCAAATGGTGATGCCAAAAATTCCAGCGATTGTTAGAATTTCAATTTTTTTTTTTTTTTTTTTAACACAACAATACGGATTTGGAATTTATCAGAACTGAATTATCCTCAAATCAATGTTATTTAGTTTTTCTTTTCAAATTTTAATTTTTAGTATTTATGAGAATTCAATTTCCACATAGGAACAGCATTTCTTTGATGCAAAAATATCCATTGTTTTTCGTTTTCCTGCATTTTCTCTCAATTTATGTTTGCATTTTTCTTTTCCTCAAAAAATATCTTTTTTTTTTCCGCTTTTACCTTCTTTCCTTTTCTGGATGACTTTTCTCCTGATTCACACTTGGGCAGATCCATCGGAATTTATAGGCTTGATACTTCCATCCTTATGTTTTACCTGCTTTCTTATGCGTTTATTTGGAAAACGAAATTTCGCAGCTTCTTTGACGTATAGTTAAGTTTTTCTAGAATCTAGATCTGTTCAAATCTACACGAATTATCCAGATCTAGAACCCAGATCTATACGGATTCTTTTTAGGATTTGAGCATTCTAGACCTTTGACGAAATTTCGTAGCTTCTTTGACGTATAGTTAAGTTTTTCAAGAATCCAGATGTCCAGATCTACACGGATTATCCAGATCTAGAACCCAGGTCTTTACGGTTTCTTTTTAGGATTTGAGCATCCTAGACCTTTGGTTTTCATAAGCTCAACTTTCGGCATCCCTTTGTCTTGCTGAACAGCTTTTTCTCAAACAGAAAACCGTCTTTATTTTGTTTGTTTTTGCTTTTTTTTTAAAAGCACGGAGATTTAATTTTTTACCTTGCAAGAACTCTTCAAAAAAATGCCGAATGCGGTAAACCCATGTGGACGATATGATCCACAAAACGAATCACAAAAGAAATGGGAGATAACTGCAAAATCCTCAAAATTCATTTCTGTAAACTCCTTTTTTGTATTTCAAACCCATCTATCTATCTTTTTTTTCTGTTTTTCTCGAATTCATCTACGCACCACATATTCAAAATTCTGTATAGAAGTACTGCCTAAGAGACAAGAATCACCGAAAAACATGAAATCATTGCCCGTTTTCTGAGGGTTTCAAATTCATGTTTTTTTTCCTGTTTTTCTCAAATTTAGCTATGCACCACATATTCAAAGTTCTGTATAGAAACATTACCTAAGAAACAAGAATCATCGAAAAACATGAAGTCATGACCCGTTCCCCGAGGGTTTCAAATTCACGTTCTTTTTTCTGTTTTTCTCAAATTTAGCTATACACCACCTACTCAAAGTCCTGTATAAAAGTATTACCTAAGAGACAAGAACCATCGAAAAACATGGAATTCCGTCAGATTTATCACATCGATCCCACCACCATTCTGCTCTGAATTTCGCATATCCATTACCTTACTTTTTATCTGATCCCTTTATCGCCTTTTATCTGATCCCTTACTGTAGAAGTGTTGCTAATCATCACACATATACAGGGATCTTTTATGGCGAAAAAATCGCCATTTTCTTCCAATCATTTGAATGTTCTGTTGTTGTTATCATCTCTCTTGTCTTATTCGAAGGCCTTTGTTTTTTGGTCCGTTGTTTTATTCTCAGGAATCTATTCCCAGGTATTTTTGCTGTGCATCAGGTATTTGTACTGCTCTATGTTCTCTTTTTTTTTTAACTCAATTATACCTCAGGTCTATTCAGGAAATCATTGAAATTTACAATATGTTATTTTTGTGCCGCGTATATTTTTCGATTTTCAAGCGTTAAAGCTTGATGAATATTTGTTTTTGTTTTTTTTTTTGTTTCAAGTAAATAAGATAGTTTTGTATATTCGAAGCATGTTATGTGGATTTCAACGCCTGCACATTTGCTACTGACCAAAGCCAAGTACCATCTTTTGGGCCATCTTATGTAGTGTCGTAATCTCACGTAAAGACTTGAAGTGTTGGGAGGTTATAAGTTTTGAATTTAACACAGTTAAACAGCTCTGAGGCCCACTTTTAAACAGATCTGAGGTCCAATTTAACACATGCTTTATTTTCCAAAAAAAAAAAAAAAGAAAAATGCATAATTTGAGGTTCAGTTTTTTTATTGAACAACTTCGGTGAGATCTTCAAAACCAACAAAAACAAACGATTTTCATAACAATAAAAATAACCAACAAAAACTGACAAAACAATCACCAAGAACACAAAATCCGCTTGAGCTAATTAGTTGTGGGTATTCCACGTTAGTGATGTTACTGGGATGTTGTTCTCGCATGTCCTGTGTATTTATGCAAGGATTTTCGATGTTGGGAGGCGCGCATGGGGAAAGATCTTAAAACGGGAAGATGATCTCGACAACGAACCTCCATTCAACTTTCTCTCTTCCTCGCTTTTGTAGCCGTGAAAATTTTTGGCGCGAAAATTGCTAACTCGGGGACGCGAAAAGCTAGAAAGCTGAAACTTTGGATGCCCTCCAGTTAGTACCCACGGATTGTTCAATTTATATGCACTACCTCGGAGACCCTGATATGTTTATATGCACCACCTCGGAGATCTGAGGAGACGCCAGAAAGTAATTTACTTCTTCGAATATACACCACCCACGAATGCGCGAGGCCTACCGCTTGTTGGCAAGATATGCGCGTTGAGAAGTAATAATTACGGGATGAAAAACAACGAGCAGTTCAAACTGCTGCAAATTGCTAGTGTGATTGTAACATAGGCAAACATGGGTAAGGTTGCCCGCGGGTAAGAATTGCCCGGTTACCCGTGGGTAAGAATTACCCAGTGATCCGTAAGAATTAAGGGACCAGTTGAACATCTAGCTTGAAAATTACGTGAATTTCTTGGGGGAATCAAGGCTGCGTCACGATAACGTGATCACTTCAGAACAAAACAAAGTGGAAGTATTGCCAGATGTAGAGTTTCAGGAATCCAGCCCAAGGTCAACCTGGATGCTACAATCGGCTTACATAGTGAAGCCAAATACGTTCACTGTCAGTTCTCGCTCACGATTATCCAGTGGTAGAGCTGTGGCGTAAGCCAGCAGATATGAGCTTGGATGCCAAGCGCACGTATACGTTTCTACGTTTATCCTCAGCTCGTGTACTCTGAAATCGAACAACCGATCATAAAAATACATCATAAACGGATCTTCCCCCATACTTCTTCCCCTATACTCCCATAAACTTCCCCCAATCTTCCCCCACATAAATGAAATCTTCCCCCGTACCAACAGCCAGCGATGGACCTTCATGTATCCCCGTTCTTGTGTTTATCACCAATACACTCGGGTATAAATTTGCTTGCTTTGAAGACAAACAGTGGACGACGCGTATCAGGAATGTGGTACCATATGCGGATCCAGGGCAGTCTCCTGAAGAGGGGGGAGGGGGAAGGCGATTTTCCACCTCCTCTTCACTCATTACACCCCCTCGGCCAGCGCCCAGCCCATCCTTCAATCGTCCCGCTGCCCCCTCCTCCTCTCCCCCACTCTCACCAACGGAGACTAAAGTGAGACTGACAAGGCTCCTTGGGGGGACGACAGGGGGTACCGAGCAGACTTTTGTACAGTAAAACAACTGCTACCTAAGCCCCTGAGAGGGGTGAAAGACCCCTCGCCCTCCTCCCCTCCCTCTGGATCCGCAGTGTATGGTACTCACGTAAAAGGAAAAGATCGTTTAGATTATTTTCCGAGAAGTAATGCAGGCGGACGCAAGAAAGACGATTCAGGAGAGAAAGGCCTAGCATAGTTCTGCTGAGCATAATAAGGTCACATCTCTTTCATCAAACGATGATAACAATACAAAGAGACCAAGGTCCTAAGAGGATTCGTTCGCTAAACCCAATTCATGCTGATAATTATACGGATGAAGTATGTCTAACGACAGGCCGGATAAGAAAAGAGAAAAACTAACCTTGCAGCGTTATTAGCCCAACAAATATCGATGAAATGATCTTCACTAGCGCATGCTATAAGCTGACTATCAGCACTGAATGATATCGATCTCAACGGATAATCCAACCTTCAAAAATAATCCAATTACTGAGGGAAGTGAAGTTCAGTTGAAAAATTACAAAAAATAAGTTGAAAAAATACGTTAAAACAGTCGAAACAACTTCGTAAACGAAGCCCTTTCTCAAAAACTCTACTGGACCGGGAGAGAATCGAACCACTCCTCTTCACATCTGGACGCAACGCGCTACCACTACACCACCGATCCTTGTGCTCCAAGTTCAACCTGGCAGCACTGTGTATCTGCCTTTCAAGGAAAGACACACCTTTCTTTTCTCCTCCCCCTCCCCTTCCCTCGTCCCTCCCCCTCGTCCTCGCCCTCCTCCTCCCTTCCCCTCTCCCCTCCCTCCCCCCCTCTTCATAGCCAATTTCCATCTTTTTCTTTGTGGCGGCTTCTTGGCCGGCTTTTCGCGTTTTTTCCGCAACAATATGATTATCGTCATAGATATTGCAGAATGTTTCGAATGTGATTCAGTGGTGAACCAATGGGCGGTGAAAGTATCACGTAAGTATAATTAAGAGTCGGAACCCTTCAAGGTGGAAAGACTTGGAAGGAGCCCGTTCCAAAACAAGTGCTACCAAGGTGGTTGGTTGTTTACTTTTTCCCAGTTACCATCCACTAATACACGACGTTTACCGGTTGTAAGCAAAACAAGCAACATGCTCTGCCCATCAAATTTTACTTTCTCGAGTGGTTCTACATTAAGAAAATATATATATAAATGCAAAAATATATGAAAAATAAATCACATTTTTATGGACTTTTGTAGGCACAAATAAAAACTTGAATTAAAAAAAACACAAAAGATTTTTTAGGGAAAAATATTTCCCTAAAAAAAGAACGAAAACAAACCTAGACATAGTGGATTCACAGATCAGTTCATTGGCATCCCAGATTGAGCAAATCGCATCTGATGCACCCACTGCAAAACGTCTACCATCTGGTGAAACAGCTACACAAACACACGTAGCTTGCGCTGAATGCGCTTGCAGTGTTCGCCGATGTGTTACGTCCGGCATCCTGAAAACATTTTTTTTTTTTCTGCTCAGCCTTCCAGGTTCCAAAAAAAATCAGACTGGCCTATCGATGATCCGTTTACTATACTTATCATAAAATAGACCTATGAAACTTTCAATATAACTCATGTCTGATCGACAAAAAAAAATTGATTTCCCATTCTTAGTGGTAAGTAGAAGACCCAACGGACCGTTTGGGCCCTGTGGGCGGAGGGAATCAGGAAAAGTAAGGGCTGAACCGGTACTGGATGACTCTGAATAGACCGTCCATAAGACGGAGTCGAGCCTTAATCCGTGACCATTTTATTAAATTGGAAGGAGGGAGGGAAATATAATAAAGTGAAGAAGACAGTGGTGTTGAAAATGTACCAAAGAACAGTGTATCATGTGAAGAGGAAATGTTAAGTGGTGCATGTGGAAAACAGCTTGCCTCTGTTTCATCCCTAAGCTGTAAACACAGACAGCACGAGACGTAATTAGGGGCGGGAATCATCAGTACAGCCCCTAGCCACCATGCTTGAATGAAAATAGCCCGGGCTCGTGATGAGATAGGATAAAAAACCATGCATAAAAAGAAGAAAAGGGAAGAAAAAGTAACCTAATATCCACCCTGATGGATGGGTACTTTCAGGTTACCGCCAAGAAGTTATTCAAATTAGACACTTCTCATCCTTCTCTCTCGGTAATCAGACAAAACCGGCACTGTTCTCCCTCGGTAATCAGATAAAAGTGGCATTGTTAGTAAATTTCGTACATTCTTACAGTGACTTCTCTATCACCTCCCAGGAAACAGTTCAGAAAAGATACAGCAAACTTTATGATTTTTCTAAGTATACGAGTTTTGCAGTCATTATGGTAATTCATTTACGCCCTAGGACCGATATTAAAGGTGGAAGAGAAAATAATGAGCAGAAAAGATGAAGAAGGGAAGAAAACGAAGAAAAAGCGAAGTAAGAAGGGGAAAGGGGCTAAAGAAATATTTGTAATAGGTAAGAAATGTTTCAATATCCCTCGAAATTGGCTTCAAATAATGCAAATATCGCGAAAAAGCTAAAATCTTGCCAACTGCTTCTACAAGGAAGACCACTGAGTTGGTAATCTCTTCAGGAGACGAAACATTCCTCACGGTCACTGCAGGTCTGACCACTGGGCGATGCAACGTTGATCAAATCAACTTCTCCAGAGAGCTAAACTATGAATTAATGGCAGCTGCTCCAGGTGTATCCTGGGTCAAAATTTTTTTAGCAGTTGCAAAAACTTACGAGAAAATGCTCAGCTGTCCACTTCCCATGGCGACGAACAAATATTTTCCGGAAGGATCAAATGTAAATTCGTTCACTTCATCTTTGAGCGTTTCCACTTTGATTGTTTTCAAACTACGACTATCCAGGATACTCAGTGCATCTTCTTTATCACCATAGACAAGATATGTACCGCACGGGGACCAGGCAACATTCAGATTCTGCGCTATAAAAAAACACTTTTGGGAGCAAAAAATGGGTAGAAATCCCCGTCCTCTCCTCCCCCCCCCCCCCCCCCCCCCCCCCCCCCC